CTCCATTCACCACCACTCTCTGGGCTTGGCCATCCAGCCAGTTTTTAACCCAGCACAGAGTGCATTTATCTAAGCCATGAGCAGCCAGCTTCTCCAGGAGAATGCTGTGGGAAATATATAACAGCGTTGTGCACACAGTAGCTGAATTAAAGCTGCGTGAGCAACTGGAATTCTGATGTGCCCACCCCCGAGCGCTTGCCTTCACAGTCCTAACAGTGATCCTTGCACCCATTTTGCAGATTTTTTGAAAAGCAAACTGGAAGACAAATTCCACCACATGACACGGCACAGTCCTCCACGTGTCAACATCAGGCTCCTGCATAAACCTCAGCCACTTGAGCTGAGAAAATAACAGCAAGACAGTGCTTGTCCTTGCTGGGGATGAGACACAGATGCCTGCCAGAGGGTTTCAGATCTGTGCTCACAGCTGAGCCTAAGGAAAGCAAAGCCAAGTCCTGATCTGCTTCATGTTTTCTAAGGCCCCATGACCTTTTACAAAGATTTGCCATTATGTTTTTTATAGGGGGCTAACTGTGAGCAGCAGCAGAACATCAGTAGTCTCAGAATATCAGAGTTAAGATAGAGAGACCACACCACCAGGAGAAAATCCCACTTGGTTGGGAGGACCATTCTTGCAGAAAGAAAAGGACCAAGACAGGTTTAAAAAAGCTCAATTTGGAGAGAGATTTTACACAAAACCATGTCAAAAGATGTCTCTACATTAGCAATTAATGCAGCTCAAGAGAAGCAGATTTATACAGCTAAACAGTTCATGCAGAGGACCTGACATTACACCACAAGCATTTCAGGTTTTGTAGGGATTTACTTCAGATCAGCTCTAACCTGGTCCCAGGGACTGAATGCCCATTTGCATCTGGATCATTTTGGGCGTGCTTCTAAAGAGCATCCCAAACACTGGAACAGGCTTCCTAGAGAGGTGGTCAATGCCCCATGCCTGTCAGTGTTTGGACAATTCCTTGAATAGCATGCTTTAATTTTTAGTCAGCCCTGAAGTGGTCAGGCAGTTAGACTAGACGATCATTGTAGGTCCCTTCCAACTGAACTATACTATTCTATTCTATTCTATTCTATTCTATTCTATTCTATTCTATTCTATTCTATTCTATTCTATTCTATTCTATTCTATTCTATTCTATTCTATTCTATTCTATTCTATTCTATTCTATTCTATTCTATTCTATTCTATTCTATTCTATACTGAACTATACTATTCTATTCTATTCTATTCTATTCTATTCTATTCTATTCTATTCTATTCTATTCTATTCTATTCTATTCTGGTTTTTCTATCTTCCAGCTCATCTCCATCCAAAAGGAACTTACTTCTTGAATTCTGAGAGCTCTTCAGCTTCAGATTCCAAACCAAATCAACATCTTTAAACCATTCTCTTTCTCCTTCTGTTACCAGTAGAAGCAATACCTACGGGTGTGCTTTGTAAACCTAGTAAATAATTACCTCATTTTCCTCTAATTCTTCCTCCTCCTCTTTTAACAACAGCAACATATATTATACAAATACAAATTTATTTTAGCAGTAGACCGTACTCTGTTTTTTCAGCTCACTTTTCTTTAAAAATCAGACTGAAGTTCACTTACAGAAGCTGTATTTTAAATGGACAAAGATGTTACAGGGAGTGATAATGTTTATCAGACCAGATGGCAGAGATGGGAAAAGCCAATCCAAAAACCTGAAGACTTTTTTTCAAATGGACAAATAAATGACACTACCTTTCCCTGCAAAGACTGTGTTGTTCTCTATCCTTAAATGATCACGGTGACACCACCACTAGTACAGTACAAGTTCAAAATTCTTCCGAAGAAAAAAAGGGAAAACGCAAAAACAGGCATGTGGCAGGAATGAACAATTTTAAGAAAGAGAAAAGAATAATTTTAAATATTAACTTTTTTTCATTTGCATTTGAAAATCCAAACCATTGCTCTAAGAAGGCTAAAAATTTCTTCAGGAGTAATCATTTTCTTACATGATGCATTTACTTGTTCTCTCTTTATAGTACCTGGAAATCACTGGGCACTTCATGTTTCCTAAAGTGGATTATCATGTTACATATTCTAAATGCAAGCAAGTTCCACCCTATCCATGTCAGCCCTATTCTATTCACTTTTTAAGGATACATAAGCTTGAAGGAGTTTGGCTGCATTGCTCCAGCCTCTTCTGACACAGGCACTGGTGATAGTGGGCACAGCAAAAATACTTAAAAAACCATAACTGAATTCTCACCTGAGTGTCACTATGATTGCTGATGGCTGGGCGCATGCTGTTATAAGGGTAACAATGAAGAGAAATATCAGGAATGGGATAAGTGTGTTGCAGGTTCGATCGCACTTCCCAGAAACAGCGTAGCCGTTCTCATTCAGGTAGGTTTTGACAATAACCAGACGGAGCTGACTGCGCTGACCCACTGTTGGCGGAGTGATCACCTGGCGACTCTGGACACAGGCACATTCAGTGTAATTTCTTACCTGGGGAGAGTGAAAAAGAACATTTCCACATGAAAAACCCATGCAAAAAAGACATTGCACAGAGCCGTGGTACAACAGTCCCATGGTACTTTTCAATCTCTAGCATCATTACCCCAATTACAAGCAAGGTTACCACCCCAAGTATTTTTAGAGCTGGCCAGGACTTCCTGTGATGAGACTGCCTTTCCATTGCTTACAACCTCCATTGTTTAGGCTGAGTTTAGAAAAAGTTCTGGAATATTTTTGGAAAATTCTGCTGAAACAATTCAATCACTTCTGACAGGGAGGCTGGAGAAAAAGATTGTTTCTACCTTATTACAAAAACTGTGAGGAAACACTCTTTAAGCAGCACTGACAACACCGTATTCTGGAATTTGGCAGGCTCTCAGCATCCCTCTTCAGGAGGTGTCTTCTGCTATCTCAATGAAAGTCCCAGATTCGGCTAAAGAGCAACAAGCTGCACTTCATGCTTGGAGCCCAGGACCTTCCAGTTGGATGTGGATGAGGATGGAATGCATACAGGAGCAAAACCAGAGAATGAGAAAGCAGAGACTTAAACAGTGAGACTGAAGGACTTGAGGGATTCCTGAATGGACAAGGAGGCTGAAATTAGGATGAACAGACTGAATAACGAAGTGGCATATCATAGGCAAAGGGACTGTGATTTGAGCAAGGTGAGGAAGAGCTAAATCAGAAATAGTCTCACGTCACATTAATTCTACTACTGTTTTCAACTTCTCTAATGGTGAAGGGGTGTGTGGCAGATCAGAATACTCCAGCGTTAGAGGGGAAACAGGTCAGGGCTCATGTGATGTTCCTGTAACTTGGAGGAGTTTTTGGGTTTGATGCTTGCATTCATAAAACCTAGGACCACACATGCACAGAAGCTACATTACAAGACCATCTTAAGGTTGCAAATTTAAGCACTTGGACATCAGGAAATACCCAAATTAGGGTTGTTTGTCAACTTTAATGTATACTTCTGTATGTGTTCGTGTTATGACATAGCCTCACATTTTTTCCCATGGGATTTAGCTGAACATCTTAATAAGGTATCAATTTATCCAGTATTTTACCTCCCATTTTCAAAATGTGCCTCCAGGTAATTTTTTCCTCACACTAAACATATTCCACTACAGACATAATGACTCATATTTCATATGGATTTTTCTGTCACACTCATCATTATAGCTTAACTCTTTCAAAAAGGAGTAATTTATCTTCAAAACAGTTATGAGATGAGGCACTGATGTTGTTATCTCTGTTTTGTAGCTAAATAACTGAAACAGATCAAAAGTTTCACAAATGTGGGTGGCAAATATGAGATAGTTGGGATCTTTTTTTTCAGAACATTTTCCATTATATACAACTTAATATATTCTAAATAAAACTTTTTGTGCCTTCGGATACAGATTTAGAAGAATACGAAATTAATGACCAACTGGAAGATGTTTAGTTTAAGTGACTTGCCCAACATCACTTACGAATGGAGGCAATGACAGAATCCAGTTTCCCAAGGCAGCACTTCACTGTCCTGTCTAATATCACATGAGTATTTGCTTTCTTCCTACAGTCCCTCACCTTAATCTCCTTACTGCTTCCAAACAGGCATCCTACAGAAAATAGTTCTCTTTACTACACAGTCTTGGTTCACCACCAGATAAACCAAATCTGTGCACTAAAAGACACAGATATGACACAACTGAAATACTAGAGTATAGAAATATATACATAAAATAGGTATAAACTGTACACAGGCATCCTTTTCTCCTACTTCCAATTTTTAACTGGTTAATTTTGAAAGAAGTGTATATTATAAACTTAAATCCAAATGTTATAAGTTAGCAAGATTTTCTGTGTTATAGAGTGACACAAGCTTACACTTGTTTTTAAAAGTGCCCAACATAAAGCATTATTTAATGAAGAAATGTATTTTCCTACCAATGTCAGCCTTATTCTATTCACCATTAGCTACCCAGTTAAAACTTCAGGCCACGAAGGATCTTTTCTTAAATCACAAGAGGAAATAGTATGTTTCAAAATCTGTAGTGAAGAGTACATACTCCCAAGGTACCTCCCAAAAAAATGAATTATTAGTGCCAGTTTGATATCAGGTGAAATGTAGCAAAGATCAAACCTATGTCTCAATCCAGCAAAGCACAAATAAGATTTATATAGACACTGAAAGTTAACCACAGGCTCACATCACAGGCTTTGCACATTGGGCCAATGCAATTTTCTATTAAAAACCAGCAATATACTCTAAAAAAAACCTATAAAGGAAATGAATCTGTTCTAAGTGGAATTGACATACGAACTCCATTTTCAGACCGTTATCCAGTCAAACCTGAGAAAGTGCAGTGCTGGACCTAACATCCTCCTGCTGCACAGGCTGGCTAAGGACTGCAAATCAGGAGACTGATACATTATAAATAAGCTTTCTGGAAAGCACAGTCAAGTCCTGAGAAAATCAATGTTTACATTACTTCCTGTCTTTCTTAATTATCCTTTTTGAAAGGACAGTTCTGTAACAGAAGAATTTAAGAGTTTGGTTTTTGTATGAAACAAGCATGACCATAATGCTCTGTTGATATTTACGTCAGATTCTACTTTTCAAGTGTTTTCCAGTGTGACTGGAAGACTGGGCTGTAACACGCAATGTATTTCCAAGAAAGAAAGTGGATGACTGACATCCTTTAAGTTCTGGTTACTTGAGTTCAATGACAATCACTTCATTTAGCCTGGAAGAGGTTTAGAGAAAGGCTATGAGAATGGCCAAAATATTTTACGCGAGCAGGACAAACGGGCAGTCTTTATTTAGCCATGCAAACAAAAGACCTATCAATATACACTGGTGCAGATGGAACAGCTACTTATGCAAAATGGCAAGGCTGACACAAAGACTAATGATTTTAAACAGGCCATGACTAAATTTAAACAGGAGTTTAAAACACTTCCAACTACCTGAGGAGTTAAGTTCTTCCTTCCATTCAGAGAGGGAGCCAAAAAAAACCCCATAATTGCTCTTAAGAGTAACACTGATGAGCTTGTGGAAAGACAGTATGACATGGCTGCCTATGTTAGCAGAAAGCTGAATTAGATGACACGGACTCAAGGTCCCCTCTCCGAGCCCTGCAGGAGCAGCAGACAGGCAGGCTACTGCCATCAGGGACTTCAGAGTCTGTACTGGGAACACCAGCCCTCCCCACCCCGTGGCACTTCGCACTCACTCGGTTGGAGGATTCACTTGGTACAAATGAGCTTGTGCCTCAAATTTGTACGTAACTGAAAGGAAGGAGAGTGGGACTGTGCATCACCAGCCTTTCAAACCATGGAAAGACTCACACGCGCGTCAGCAGCAGAGCAACTTCTCCAGAGCTTAAGAGGGGGGATGCTTGTACTAGAAACAAAGCAGTCTTTGATCTGCATCAGTCCCGAGGGGCTACTCACAGGTTGTATGTGGGTGGGTGGGTGAAGCACTTACCCCTGTGCTATGGTTTCCACCATTGATGCAGCCAGCTAGGCAAGGATTAAAATATGTTATTCCATCTGATCCACAGACAGGCTCGTACTCATGAATCTTACATCCACAGTTAACATTACAGCTCCCAGTCAGATTCCTGTGGGCCATGGCAAGAGTGGGACTGAAGAAAGGAAAAAGAACATGCTAGTAGAGCAAGCACAGATATCCTGCTGTTCAGAGGAAGAAAACATCCTACTCATTAACTCTGGAACTGAGAGTTGATTATCAGAGAAAGACTGCATTAACTCTAGGTTATGTATATGATTTAAACAATATAGAAGAACATCCAAGGCATCCTTGCCATCAACTAAAAACACAATACAAAAATAATACCAAAGTTTAAAACTTGTATCTTCTTTGCCCAGGTAATAGTTGTATTTTTCCCCTGTTTTTTTTCCTTTAAGAGTTAAGACACCCCTATTTTATATGTCTATCCTAAGGTTCAGCAATTTGTTGTTGATTACTAGTGAAAGGCTCAGTAACAAGATGTAAGCATGAACTAATAGGCACCTTTTCCCACATACCAACAACTGTTCAGAAAACTTAATGCTTGTATTATTTAGATGTGTATGTGAAATCTACAGGAATCTCTCTAGATCTGGAGGAGTGCTGTGCTTTTACTAACTGTCTGTAAAAGAACCACTCCTCCTCTTCCCTGGACCATTCCCCAAAATCTTGTCAAAGCCCAGCTTTCTAGGTCCTCCCCAGGAGCGTTTGGCGGTATGCTCAGAAGGAACTAAAGGGAATTTCAAAGCTAAAGGACACGCGCACACACCAAAAAGCAGGCTCTTCACTATCAATCACTGCTGCTTCAAACAGGTGGTTGAACAGATCTCAACTGCTACAGCAGGGAAGTGCATCAACTCTTCACTGGCAAGTGCCATGCCAGCCTGGGCACATCCTCACCATGGGATGAATGCGCAAAGGGAATCCAACCAAGGCAGCAGCTCATGGCACTCATCTGAGCTCATGTAACAAGGCTTGAATGAAGCACTGCACTGAGACAGCTACAGGTCTCTCCCGATGCACCCTCTCCTCCAGCTAACACCTCTGCATGGCACATCTGGGCCCTGTCTGGAGAAAGCAGGTCATTTGGAAGCAGTTTTGGTCTCCCCAAATGGCACTGCCCTGGGTGGTGGGGATCCCAAAGCAAGACAAACTCCTCAGATGTAAACAATACCCGATATCCTGAGCTGCCAAGGGGCAGCCGGTATGAACTACTGAGTGCCAGAGTGCAACTCGTGTCTGGAATCGAGGTTTTATAATTGTACCAGTTGTACCATTGCAGCTCAATCCAGAAGTGATAAAGGCCTTAGTAATAGCAGAGTCCATATCTGTCAGATCACAGACTCTTCATCAGAAGATGATGGGGGAAAAAAAAAAAACCACTAATCAAATTGTGCTTTTTGCTATCAGTAGAAAGAAATCAACTCTGGTTACCACTGACCGCCAGCTGTCACCATCACAGGTTTTGACTCAAGTTCACTAAGTCACACAGCCACCAAATTAACCAGCTCCTGTCTTACCTACCATATCACTTCAGCCCTGCCCAAAACAACTCTCAGGCCACTTAAAAATGCCCAGCTTTGGGCACAAACCCTGGAGGAGACACCCAGCTACTCCCTGCGCTGAAGGAAAGCCCAAGGTGAAACGGGACTTTTAACATTCTTGGGTAGGGTAAAGGCTTGGAGTACAAAGCAAAGAAGGAAAAGCATTAGCAGGCACAAAGGCAACCTCACTGAAAGAAAAGAATAGTAAAAACCCCTACATAACTATATATACAAATTCTGATTATAGAGAAACAGAGAGAGTTAAAATGAAAGAGTTAAAGAAAGAGGAAATGGATACTAGTTTGTTACCAAATTAAAAACAGACTGGCATAACTGGACCCAGTGTATATAGAGCTAATATCAGAGGATGTAAGGTGTCAATCTCTATTATCTAGAAGCTCCTCATTAATGAGGAAGTAGTTGATAATCATATCATATTTTTCTAACAAATAACTGGTCTGAGAAGCCATTTACTTTTAATGGGCATATTTTCTTGAAAACCTCAGACTAGTTTATAAAGAGCTACTATACTACCTTTGTCCCTTTCAGTTACTGGCATTGCTCAGATGAGTTTTGTAGCATTGCTTTTTTTCCTTGGCTGGCTAAAGACTGATTGAAAATTTATTTTTTGTATGCATACATTTTCTGTGAAAACCTTTAGAAACACATGAAAATGGCTATTGAGACCACGGTTGCCTTTTCACCAGTATCCTGTCTCTAACAGTTGCCATAAGAAGATGCCTAGGGACGAGCAAGAACAGGGCAAGTAACTTCCCCCAGAAAAGTATTCTCTCAGCCTCTAATGAGTCTCAGCCCAAAATATTTTCTAAGTTTGATGTAGTTTTTTAGTTAAAAAACTCCATTTTTTTTCCCTGTACTTCTCCCATTGAGATTAAATTTTTTGCATCTACAATATGCAATAGCAAGGATTTTTCGACAGCCCACAGCCTGTTACATGAACTGTTGTTTGTTTTGAATCTGTTTTTTTTTTATCTGACAGCCCCCACTTCTACTACTTTGCTTGTAAATTCTGAACGCATGAAGGCTCCTGAAAAAATAAACTTAAGGGGTTCCTATGGCCAACATGAAAATATTTGCAAGTTCTAGTGAAATCTTGTAGTTGTAATTAAATACACCACATCTAATATTAACTAATCTAATCTAATCACATCTTGTATTACCTGAAGGCATTATGCCAGAAGGTACCTGAAGGTATAGGCATAAAGTATTACCTTTTATCCATGCTATTACTGAACATGCTAGCTCAGGTACCAAAAAGAAAATAATTGTTCCACTTATATATATATGCAGACACCTTGAACTGCAAGTAATTTTCTGCTGTCGTTATGCAGCCAAATTATAACAAGCATGAACTGTTAAATAGCCCATATTATATTTATACCTATTTTTACTACACTTGCCATGCTCTCTGTCTTGTTTCAGGTTGCTAAATTAATTTAATAAGTGGAAAAGCAAGAGTCTGCAGTGTGGTTTATTGCTGGTTCAACTTTCTGCATCTCATTTGGAATTTTATCTGGGTTTAAAATACTGCCAGCAACGTGAATGCATTAAGCCAATGGAAAAGTTACCTGAATGGCTTTATTCATACCAATCTATTTCCAAGTGATAGGGTTGGCTGAGGCTAGGGACCCTAGCTCTTATTTCCTAAATACCTTTCTGTCTAAAGAAATCACAGTTCTTGAATTCTGCACCTGTCTTCACTGCCTAAGGCGATACCAAGCCACTGAAAACTGAAAAGCAGCTGATATCAATGTTTTCACCTGAAGCATTTCCTCTTAGTTAGGAAACCCCCCATTTTATTATGTTTTCAGGAATATAGTTTCCTGTGATGCTTAAACAGCTTTCTTTTTCTGGGCTTTACTCTTTAAATATAAGTCTTACTTTCTGCCATAGCTGCACTCTAGGCTTGTAAATGCTATTTTGTGTCTAAAAGTACCCAAATGTTAGGCACTGCAATATTCAGTATTGCAATATACAAGTTTTGCTGAAGATAGGGGGCCAGTTTCAAACCACGTACTTTATGGGTTGTAATTTGCAATGCCTAAACCTGAACGTTTTCATCCTTCCAGGTGCCAAAGTCAGAAAAGCGGGTTCTGTAAGGAATCAAGACAGCTGCCACTTCTAAAGATATCCAAAAATTCAGAGTATGGAAGTGAGGGCCTGACCTCCCTCCTATGACTTTTTGGCTGGCACCCTGGCCAGGGAAGGTGAAATGGGAGCCGAGAGTGATGGCAAGACTAGATCAGAATTGGGTCCAGATACAATGATCACAATGATCAGTCCAGTGATCACAGAGCAAGTCGAAGAGAAAGGAGGGGCAAGCCCTCGCCTCTACCTTTCTTCACACCAGCTCTTATCAGTGACAGAGCTGACCCTGGACTCAGCCAGCTGAACTCCTTAACTCAGGTGTCCAAGCTCCTAGAAGTGGCGGGGACACTCTCTGCACCCTGACACTGTATAGGAATATTGGTGCCCACTGCGGACAGCTCAGTGAGTTCCTACACACGGCGCAAAAAGCTGCCCCTTTGTGCTGATAGCCTTCTCCAGAAACACTGTGCTTCATGGATTTACCACAGATCTCTTCTGAAGTGGAAGAGGAAGCTTCCTGTTCTTCATCAGCTCTACAGTTGCCCGAGGTGGGAACACTGGGGTTCCAGGTCCTCCTCAACCTGAAGGGGTTCAAACCCACATCCCCTTCATGATGTTCTTACCATCAGGCTCCAGAATGGCATCTCTTTCCATCCTTCCTGCT